TCTGCTTTTTAAAAATTGTTCTTTATTGTGAAGAACAATTCTTTAAAAATTGTTCTTATATTTTTGGTTGTGAGCCTAGCCTTTAACGGTTGAGCTATCCCTCCTCTGGTCTCCAAAGCGAGTTCCAGGAAAGGCACAAAGCTACACAGAGAAACCCTGTCTCGAAAAACCAAAAAAAAACCAAAAAATAAAAAAAAAGTTGTTCTTTAAAAGCCCCCTGGGTTGGGGATTTAGCTCAGTGGTAGAGTGCTTGCTTAGCAAGCACAAGGCCCTGGGTTCGGTCCTCAGCTCCAAAAAAAAAAAAAAAAAAAAAGTCCCCTGCATGGCCAGTGAGATGGGTCACTAGGTAAAGGTGCTTGCCTCCAAACACAGGACCTGAGTTCAATTCCTCAGACTCACGTGGTAGATGAGAACTGACTTCCACAAGTTGTCACCTCACCTACACACACACACACACACACACACACACACACACACACACGCGATAAATGTAACAAAAACTTTAAAATCCCCTGTGTTGGCAATGTGTCACCTCAGGGTCTAAAAAGCAAAAAGTCCAGAGGAGTTTAAAAGTCATCCCTTCCCCTCCAAAGCCTCATATCATAAGGAACTTAAGAGAAGTGGTGATGAATCCTTGCGCAGGAGATGGATTTATGTGCCCGACTTTGATCAAAAGTTAATGGACTGAGTTTCACTGAAGGTCCCTTCTCTCCCTCCACTTAGGCTGGCGGGGCTTTCATCATGATCTTATCAGCTTGGAATGAAGATGGAAACCGTGGGACAGCAGGTGCTTAGTTACAGGGAGGTAGGTCACTGGCCTGTTCTGTGAAGCTTCAAGGTTACTCGTTCTGAACAACAGTTCATGATCATCAGACACCAGAGCCATCAAGTGGATGGAGGGCAATCACTCTTTACTTTTGTGTCATAAACTGAGAATCTGCTGATCACTAATATATTCCACCAAAAATATATTCTCAGTGTGGATTTTCATGGAGCCTAAGATGAGAAGGAATGTGGCACCCAGGCATCAGACCCAGGCTTTGCACACAATATCTTAGTTAATATTTGGTCACTGCCAGCATTATTATCTCCATCTTTCACAGGAGAATCATGAGCAACTAACTCACTAGATTTACAGAGCTGTCGAAATGTGATACTGGGAATTGAAGTTGATGCTTATGAACTTCAGAGCTCAGGGACAGCAGAGCAGAGGAGATCAGGTGAGAAATGAGCCCTGTGTTTCTACCATGCCGTTCTCCAGGGGTTGGCATAAATGGTTCCACAGCAGTCCCAATGATGTGGTGTATGGGACATCTGATCCTCATTTCTCCAGTCACAAAAGGCTGCCATGATAAGTCACTTGACAGGTCCCACTGAAAGGAGTCTTGAGCTCTGGGGAGGGAGGCCCTGTTCACGGCTTACCCTTGGAGTATGCCACTTAATAGGTTAAGTAGCAAAAGTATTGGGAAAACTGAAATTAAATTGTCATTAACATAACAGTGTGCGTATCCTTCCTCCGCAAGGGGGCGTGGTCTAAGAAGGTAGGTGAATAGGTCTCCTACACAGTGGACTCCAGGGGGAGTAGGCACGGAAGGATCTGGATGCCTGTTGTGTTACTGTGACACATTACCCCCCTCCACACACACACACACACACACACACACACACACACACACACACACACACACACTGCCAAAGGCCCTGGGTGCCGGCCTGACTAACTCCATCTTGTTCCTCTCTGGCTCAAGCTTATGGTGGTGCCCTTGAAGATGTACTTTGGGATCATTAGACCCCTTTTATCAGTTCTTCCTTATTTAAACAACATGATTAAATCTGTTTTCTGTCAATATTCATGTTTAAGGTGTGGTTTTTGTTTGTTTGTTTAGGTGTGCGTATGTTTTTGTTTGTTTGTTTAGGGGTGTGTGTTTTGTTTGTTTAGGTGCGTGTGTGTGTGGGGTTGTTTGTTTAGATGTGTGTGTGGGGTTGTTTGTTTGTTTAGGTGCATGTGTGCATGCATGAGTGCACGCCTGGTGCCCCAGGGTGACTCTCCCACCACCTAGCCCCTGGGTCCTGGGGAGAGGTTGGAGGTGCATGTGATGGATGGAACAGTAGGAGGGTGAGGTTGCAAAGTGGATGCACAGGGAAGATGGTGTCCACCCCGAGGTCTTGTCTGGCCTTAGATTTTATGGCAATGACTGGTTCTCAGTGTGGGGTGTGAGTCTCAGGAGGAGGCCATCTAATCCTGTGCCTTGAAAATGGCTTTAGGAGAGAAGGACTGCACTGAGCCAACCTCCAGAGAGCCATTCCCAGGCACCATCCATTTAGACCAGTGATTCTCAACCTTCCTAGTGCTGTGACCCTTTAAAACATATCTGATAGTCAACCCAAGGGGGTCAAGACCCACCGGTTGAGAATCATTGATCTAGACCAATGCAAGGCTGTGATCCATTCACCACTGCAGCTTAGAGCTGGAAAGATGACATCAGCCCTCTGGGCCAAAGCTACTTTGGGGAGCCACAATTCCCCTGTTGCCTCAGTTTCTTCCCCAACAGAGGTTCCTTGCAAGCTCTGACAGCCTGTGGTATGGTCTGGGGTGTGGCTTGGAATTCCTATGTCTAGAGTTTTTAGAGACCCTTCACTGCTCACTGAGGCCTTTACTCCAAGAGCCAAGGCCGAGGTTTATAATTCCCAGCTTTCACAGGATCTGGAGTATAGCACAGGTTAATAAATGAATGGTAGTCTCACTGTAAATATGGTCTAAGCCGGTCAAAATGGTGCACACTAGTAATCCAAGTACTCAGGAGGCCAAGTTAGGGGCATTTCAAGTTTAAGAACAGTCTTGGCTTCACAGAAAGGCACTTTTTTGGGGGGGGGTCTGGGTATATGAGTTGGGAGGGGAATGGCCTGGCAGTGGTGGTGCACGCCTTCAATCCCAACACTCAGAAGCCAGAGCCACGTGGATCTCTGTGAGTTCAAGGCCAACCTGGTCTACAGACAGAGATCCAGGACAGGCACCAAAACGACAGAGAAACCCTGCCTCAAAAAAACAACAACAAAAAAAAGAGGGAGGGGGTGTCTCTCTACATATCCATGGCTGTCCTGGAGCTCCCTCTGTAGACCAGGCTGTTCTGAAACTCACAGAGATCCACCTGCCTCTGCCTCCTGAGTGCTGGGGATTAAAGGCATTTGCCACCACAATCAGCTTTCACATTCAGTATATACATGATACCAGGTCATCTTATTGTTTTTGTTTTCTTTTATTTCAGACAGAGTTTTCCTATGTAGCCCAGTCTTCCTGATGCAGCCTCATAAACGCTGGTCTTAAAGCTGTGTGTCCCCACAGCCAGCCACATGCATTCTTTTTTAAAGAAAGGAATGATCCCAGAGATATATGCATGGAGTGTGAGTCTGTGTGTGAGTGTATAACATATGTTCCCATATGCATGTGGTGTTTGCTAATCACGAAGGCCAGAAGAGGTGCTTTGTTTCTGTTGTGATAGAACACCCTGACTAAAATCAACTTACGGAAGAAAAGATTTTATTTTAGCTCAAAACTCTAGGTTACAGTCAGTCGTTGTAGGAGAATCAAGGCAGGACCTTGAAACAGTCCCCAGTCCAGAAGACAGAACCTGAATGCATGTCAATTGCTCCTGTCCAAATGATTCTCTACACCCACACAGTCTAGGGCTTATTCTTACCTCTTCATTTGAGTCAGGATCGCTCCCTGAACCCAGGGCTCAAGTTTTATTGGTTAGGCTGAGACTAGCATGTTTTAGCAATCCTGTCTCTACCTCACTCAGAGATGAGATCACAGGCATGCACTGGAGGCCCAGCTTGTTACAAGGGTTCAGGGAGCCAAACTCCTCATGATTTCAAGGCAAGCATTCTTCCCACCTCCCCCAAGACAGGGTTTCTCTATGTAGTGTTGGGAAATAGTATTTTAAGATGTGTTACTTTTGTTTATGTAGCATTTGTTTAACTCTGTGAAGCTGTGTTACTGTGCCTGTGTAAAACACCTAGTGGTCTAATAAAGAGCTGAATGACCAATAGCAAGGCAGGAGAGAGAAACAGGCAGGAGTGGCAGGCAGAGAGAATATATAGAAGGAGAAATCTGGGAGAAAAAGAAGTAGCCAGAAAAAGAGGAGGGCTCCATGGGCCAACCAACCAGCCACCCAGCTACACAGTAAGCCACAGAGTAAGAGTAAGATTTACAGAAGTAGCTGGGCAGTGGTGGCACATGCCTTTAATCCTAGCACTCGGGAGGCAGAGCCAGGCGGATCTCTGTGAGTTCGAGGCCAGCCTGGTCTACAGAGCGAGATCCAGGAGAGGCGCAAAGCTACACAGAGAAACCCTGTCTCGAAAAACCAAAAAAAAAAAAAAAAAAAAAAAAAAAAAGGATTTCCCATTTTTCTACAGGGACAGGGCCTTGCTTCATTCCCTTAATCATATGGACAAAATGATGTGTATTCATGCAATCCCTCATTCATTTTTTTTTTTTTTTTTTTGGTTTTTCAAGACAGGGTTTCTCTCTGTAGCTTTGGAGCCTGTCCTGGACTAGCGCTGTAGACCAGGCTGGCCTCAAACTCACAGAGATCCACCTGCCTCTGCCTCCCGAGTGCTGGGATTAAAGGCGAGCGTCACCGCCACCCGGCCCCTCATTCATTTTTTCTATGGCCATTCCCGTGGCCCAGTATCTGCTGGACGAGGAGAGGGGAAGCATGACCTGCAGAGGTGGGCATCCTAGACAGGGGGTTTAGCTTCACAGGGCTTCCCACTGCCGTCACATCCACTCACTCATCCTTCCATCATCCTTCCATTCCTCCTTCCCTCCTTCGCCACGCCAATCAGTTTTGAGGTGCTGGGATTGGACGACGGGAGGCAGCGCACTCGCCACAGTCTCACTAAGGTCTGATGAACACACCGCCCAGGGCGGGCTCACAATCCTAGGCCCCGCCCCGCCCCGCCCCCTTCGCGCGCCTTACGTCACCTCCCTGCGCCGGAAGTGTGTCAGGCTGCCGGCGGGGAGGCTGGCGGTCCACCATGTAGGTTCCCTCGCTGGCGTGAGCGATGCGCTGGCTGCTGCCGCTGTCCCACGCAGTGACACTGGCCGTCGTGCGCGTGAGGCGAGGCGTCTGCGGGCTCGGGATGTATTACGCGGTGAGGAGGGGCCGCAGGACCGGCGTCTTCCTGAGTTGGTGAGCCCTTCATTCTAAGCACCAAACAGCCTCTTTAGTCCCTCTAAGTTGCAGTCCAAGACTCCTAAAGAGAACATGTGGTCATGGCAGACCAGAACTCACACAAGGATCCCCGTGTTCTGATCGTCCCCGGGGGTGTTCTGTTTGTGAGACAGGACCCCCTGTACCAACTTGAACTAACGGTCTCTCTGCGTTCGCTTCCCAATATCAGGGATTGCAGATAGGCACCATTACGCTCGGTTTATGCAGTACTGGGGACTCGAACCCAGGGCCCAGTGCATGCTAGACAAGCAGCTGAGCTACATCCTCAGCCCCTCCTGTTTTTAAAAAGGCTAATCGTTGCCAGGTACGGCGGCACATGTTTGTAATCCCAGTACTGGTGAGTCTGAGGCAGGAGGATCACTACATGTTACAGGTCAGCATGGCCTATGGATTATGGAAGGAGACCTCGAGAGGAGAGGAGGAAGGGGAAGAGAAAGATGGAGAGTCTCAGGCTAGAATCTAGTCTTTGTTTTTGGATCCTTGTAGCAGCCCTTGAAGGCAGATGATGTTTTCAGTTTGATGGGTCGGGTAAGTGGCAGAATCAGGGCTTGAACCCAGGTTTGGGTCTATGTGACAGTAAGCTTCTCTTATCAAGGTTTGATGTCCCTGTGCACCTGTATGTTTCCCTAGGCTCAACGACGACAATATTGAGGAAGAAATATCTCTGATGCCAGCCCTTTTTCTGTGATTGATTTTGTTTGTTTGTTGGTTTGGTTTTTGGTTTTTTGAGACAGTGTTTCTTTTTGTAGCCTTGGCTGTCCTGGAACTAACTCTGTAGACCAGGCTGGCCTTGAACTCAGAGATACCTATCTTCCTCTGCCTCTAAGATTAAGGGTGAGTGCCACCACTGCCCAGCTTGATTGATTCTTTTTTTTTTTGAGACAGGGTTTCTCCATGTAGTTTTGGTGCCTGGATAGCTTTTGGAGCCTATCCTGGAACTCACTTTGTAGACCAGGCTGGCCTCAAACTCAGAGATTCACCTGCCTCTGCCTTCCAAGTGCTGGGATCAAAGGCATGCACCACCACCTCCCAGCAATTGATTCTTAAAGATAACGAAATTTTAGTATGCACTGGAGTTGTGGAAGATCTTATGGTATTAGTGTACCACTTGAATGTCATTTAGCAGAATGGGCTGGCAAGTCTTAACATGGAAATGAAGCTAAATTGGGAGGTATATTATACAGACCTAAAATGAGTGGTGTTTTTTTTTTTTTTTTTTTTTTTTTTTTGGTTTTTCGAGACAGGGTTTCTCTGTGTAGCTTTGGAGCCTGTCCTGGAACTCACTCTGTAGCCCAGGCTGGCCTCGAACTCAAAGAGATCCGCCTGCTTCTGCCTCCCGAGTGCTGGGATTAAAGGGGTGCACCACCACTGCCCAGCTAAAATGAATTATTAAAGATGAAATAGTATGAAAGAACACTAACTATATCATACTAAGAAAAAAAGCCAATTTGAAATGGTCTACAGTGAGTGATTCCAACTATATGACATCCTGGAACAAATCCAGAGATTGTAAAACAAGCCAGTGATTTTTAGGTGTTAGAACCGAGGGAGGGATGATGATGATGAGAGACAGACAGGTTTTGTTTGTTTGGAGACAGGCTGACCTTATCATTTGTCTCCACTTCCCACGTGCTGAGATTATGGGTGTTGTATACTCCCAAACCAAGGTGTTTTGGGTTGTGTTTTTGAGACAGCGTTTCTAGGTAGTACTGGCTGGCCTAGACCTGTATATAGATTGGGTGGCATTGAACTTGTGATCCTCCTGCCTCTGCCTTTAGAGTGTGGGATTATAGGCATGCGTCCCCACCCCCAGCCTCCAGGTGAGGATTTTTTTTTGTTTTGTTTTTTCGACACAGGGTTTCTCTGTGTAGTTTTGGTGCCTGTCCTGGATCTCTCTCTGTAGACCAGGCTGGCTTTGAGCTTACAGAGATCCACCTGTCTCTGCCTCCCAAGTGCTGGGATCAAAGGCATGCGCCACCACCGCCTGGCAAGGTGGAGATTTCTAAGGCATGAGGTTGTTCTGGATGGTGAGTAATGTCGACCCATGTCACTGTCATTGTCTTCACTAAAGCCTGTAGGCTTTACAACACCGAGAGTGAGCCCCAGTTTGAGCAGTGGACTGGGAACATTGGAGGCAGGGTCTTAAGGAACTCTATTTTCTGTTCCTATTTGATGTGAACCTAAAACTGCTGCAAAACTTGACCCTGCTGTAAATAGATAAGGTGGAACAGTAGAAGTGAAAATGAGTTAAAACAGTAAGTAAGGACGTCAATTGAAGAGGGAAGGAAGGCTGGGCTGATGTGTGCGCTCTTCCAGGAGTGAGTGCAGAGCGCAGGTGGACCGGTTCCCTGCTGCCAGGTTTAAGAAATTTGCCACAGAAGATGAAGCTTGGGCCTTTGTCAGGAGCTCTCCGAGCCCAGATGGTTCAAAAGGTATGTAATATTAATGTGATATTTTTTTTAAAACAATTTTATTTATTAATTATGTATACAGTGCTCTGTCTGCGTGTATCCCTGCAGGCCAGAAGAGGGCACCAGATCTCATTACAGATGGTTGTGAGCCAACATGTGGGTGCTGGGAATTGAACTCAGGACCCTTGGAAGAACAGCCAGTGCTCTTAACCTCTAAGCCATCTCTCCAGCCCGTTAGTGTGATATTTTAACCTATGAAAAGCCTCCCGTATCCCCAGCATCACTGTGTCTACTTTCCTGGAGGACATGAAATGTCTATTGTCTCCTGTACAGATTAGAGTTAAGAACAGTGGTTCAAGCCCTCTCAGCAGAGAGAGGCAAAGGCAGGCAGATTTCAGAGTTCAAGGCCAGGACAGCCAGGGCCACACAGAAATTGTCTCAAAAAAGCAAAAATAAATAAATAAATGAATGAATGAATGAATAAAGTGGTTCAGAGGCTAGAGAGATGGCTCAGAGGACCAGAGTGTTTGATTCTTTGTTAGGACCCATATTGGGTGATTCACAATGTCTTCTAACTCAGGAGGGATGGATGCTTGAACACAAATACACACACACACTTAAAAATAAATCCTTTAAAAAGAATTAGTGTGGTTTAGCCAGGTGTATGGTGCCTAGGATTGGATTCTGAAGGCCTACTAAAAGGGATGTCAGATTTAGAGCGCACATAGGACACAGGTCAGCAAGCTGACTCTAATTTAGAACATGGGACCAAAAACAAAACAAAACAAAACTATATCTGAGCCTCCCTTGGGAAGTGTGGTTTCAAGAACTTTTTATTTGTTCATCTATTATTATTTATCTTTAGTGGGAGCCTTGGACTCTCTGGAGCTCCTGCAGGGCACCAGAGTCTGGGGTGGTTTGTTCTCAGTCATTCCCTCTTGGTGGGGCCACAGTCTAGAGTGCCCCAGTGTGGTGCTGTAACGTTGAAAGCTCTTTCAGAATGTTCCTCAGCGTTCATGCACTCTGTGGTTTTGGATCATGGTTGGAATCTTCTTTCAGGGCAGGAAACAGCACATGTGCAGGAATCACCGGTGAAGACCAGCAAGCGGCCTCGGGAGCCTCCGCGTGAAGGGGAAGGGGAAGAACAGCCGGAACCAGGGGCAAAGCACACCAGACAGAGCACGGAGCTGGCTCCCCTAGTGAGCAAGGACACTTTTTCTTATATGGGTATGCCTTTCTTGGGCTCAGAGTTTTTAGTACAATTATGAACAACAATAATCATGAAATATTCTCCTTTCTAAATGAGAGGAATTTAAGCTCTTTGTTTTGATGGTGGTGGGTTCTGTTTTTTTTTTTTTTTTTTTTTGAGATAGGGTCTCAGTGTGTCCTCTGGTGGCCTTGAACTCAGAGCTCCTCCTGCCTCAGCCTCCCAGTGCTGGGATTAAGGGTGTAGGCAGCCATCCTAAAAATTGAAGCTGATTTTTAGCCCCATCTTTTTCTGTAAATATTCTCTAAAAATTTCTGAGGTCTTTTATTTTGGAGAGAGGGCATTAACAAAAAGTCCCTTTGCTTTCCTTCTTGATAGGCCAAGGCTCTTATTGATGTGGTCCTACCTTTTTACTTTTTATTTTGCAGCAGGGTCTCACTGCATTACCCAGGGTGGCATTGAACTCCTCCCTTTGAAGCCCAGGCTAGCCTTCAACTTCCTTCTTAGCCTCCCAGCCATCTGGGTCCTTTGCAGCCAGGCCTGGCAGTGAGGCCACTGTTCTGCAGCTAATCAAACAGTGCAAAATCATTAATCGTTTAGAAATTCTTAGGAAACCCTTACAAGCCACAGGCTGCTGAGGCAGAGGAAGGAGGAGGGCCCAACCAGAGCTGCCTGTTAGAGCTGGGCAGTGCCAGCATGTGGCCATTTGTCCAGCCCTCAGAACTCACTATGACCTGAGGAAAAGAGATCTTGGGCTCTTCCTGTGTTTAGCTCCAAGAGGAGCTATGTGCTCTAAGTAACTATGGTATATAAATTTCCTTTTTTATCTTGCATTCATGGGAACAGAAAGAGGCAGCATTTAAAGATGCATCAGCATTGGTGTGTCCTAAGTTTTTGTCAAGAGAGCCATCTGTACTTTACCTCCAGGAAAAGCCCCAGAAGACACTGGAGCTGCGGGAGTCGATGGGCTTGGCAGTTATGGAAGATGAGCAAGTGCTGTCACTGCTCATTGCGCTGCACAGTTGTCTGTCAGCCTGACAGACTGGAGTCATTTGAGAGGACGGAACCTCGGTTAAGAGAACGCCTCCATAAGATCAGGCTGTGGGCATTTTCTTAGTGATTGATAGAGAAGGGCCTGGCCCACAGGGATGGTACTATTCCTTGGGCTGGTGGTCCTGGGTCCTATAAGAAAGCAGGCTGAACAAGCCATGGGGAGCAGGCAGTAAGCAGCACCCCTCCATGGCCTCTGCTTCAGCTCCTTCCCTGTTTGAGTTCCTGTCTTGACTTCCTTTGGTGATGCGCTAAGATGTCTAAGTGTGAGCCAGATAAACCCTTTCCTCTCCAAGTTGCTGTTGGTCATGGTGTTTCATCACAGCAAGAGAAACCCTAACTCAGGCACTCATCAATAGGAACCTAAGGGATGAGCCATTTCCAGCATGCCGGCTGCCACTTGGCACACTGTGTGACAAGTGTCTTTGGTGGCTTCAAGGAAGGTTTAGTTGTGTGGGTGGAAACCAAGTCCCAGCTGACAGGAGGCCTGTGCAGCCTCTGCTCAAACGTCCCCAGCCTTGCTTCTTTGAGGGCCACTGGTCCCCATGCTTCCTTCCCCTGAGCCTGCTGTCCAGGCCACTGTCCTCTGGACAGGCCTCGTGTGCAGGGGGTCTTTGACCCCCTCTTCCACCCCAGACACGGGCCACTCAGTTTCTCCCTGCACTCTGCTGAGGGTGCTGCCGACCACTCTGCCCGTCACTGTGGGAATCAAAGAGTGGGCCCACCCCACAGGGGGAGTCCATGTCGTCCTGGACAGAAGACTGCGGCCGCGGGTCCGTGTTTAGCGGGTTGGTACAGTCGCTCACTCTTCCCTCTTACAGGAGAGTCAGTTGTTGTCTACACGGATGGCTGCTGCTCCAGTAACGGGCGGAAGCGGGCGAGAGCAGGAATTGGCGTTTACTGGGGGCCCGGCCACCCCTTGTAAGTAAACACAGCTAAGTGTAAACATCACGTTTTTACCAAGTCTTGGAAGGATTTGCTGTGGTATATCCGTGGTGAAACCTGCCAGGTAAAGAGCGTTGGTGGTGGATAGAAAGAGAGCAACTTGGATTTATATCAGTGCCAGGCAGCTTGGTTCTTGACAGTGCCAAATACTGAGACTTAGTATTGTTTCCCTGGGCCTAGTTCATATAACTCATAAGACATGGGTAGAGGAGCCAGCCAACAGTGATGCAGGGAAAGGGCACCAGCTCAGAACCCATCCCATCACTAGACTTCTAGAGACAGGGTCTCCTTATGCAGCCTTGGCTGGCCTAGGCTCACTATGAGACCAGGCTGGCCTAGCACTCAGAGAGATCCTCCTGTCTCCGTCCTTCCCAAGTGCTGGGATTAAAGGTGTGTAACACCACACCTGGTGACTTTTAGACTTGAAGATGCTTAACCTAGAGACAGAAAGCACAGCCAAGGTGTGAAACTGGACCGTTCACACAGACCAGTGTCTGCGGTGAAGGATATGCAGGGGTGGCTGTCAGCCACCCCGTGAGGTTTTCTTCCACCAGGTCTGAGTGAGGTTCATTGGGAACTGTTGTCAGACACAGTGTGTTAATTGTTCAATTAAGTGTTTTAATTTTTCCATTTTAAATATTCACATGTATTCAACATATTAATTAACTCAGGTAATAAGAGTTTTTGTTTTGGTTTTTTATTCTCCCTGTGTATCCCTGGCTGGCTTGTAACTCATGGAGATTCTCCTGCCTCAGCCTCTCAAGTGCTGGGATTAAAAGTGTACACCGAGCTGGGCAGTGGTGGCCCAAGCCTTTCAAGAAATCCGTTCAAAGTGTGCATGACCATGCCCAGCCTAGCATAATGAACTTTTTATGTTTTCAACCTTGGATATTTTTTGTTTCATTTTTGTTTGTTGAGACAGGGTCTCTCTGCAGCCCTGGTTGTCCTGGAGCTCTCTGTGTAGACCAGATTGGCCTCCGACTCACAGAGATCCTCCTGCCTCTGCCTCCAGAGTTCTGGGATTACAAGTGTGTGATTTTCTAGTTTTTTATTGTTTGCAGGTGCTGGTATTTGGACCAGGGTCTTGTGGATGCTTGGCACAGAGCTGTGTCCCAGCCTTGGTTTGTTTTTTCAGGCTGTTGTTTGTATGTAGGTTTTATGTTTCAGTTGAAAGTGAACACTAATTTGTTATTATCCATTGTTGGGAATTAGCATTGTAATTTTGTTTTTTCTTTTTCTGCCGTTTTGAAACAGAAATGTAGGTGTTAGACTTCCTGGGCGACAGACAAACCAGAGGGCCGAGATCCATGTAAGTTCCCAGATAATTGTGAGTGCCTTTCCTGCATGTGACCACAAGGTCAGCCTTGTTCCCTTCCTTTGTTGTCCTAGATTGAAGGAATTGAAAGTCCACAAGAAACACTGAGGCTAACAACAGTCTGCTCTAAAACCTTTCCTGTCAGTGTCATGGGGCATTGCAGGATTAGCCTTCTTCACATAAAGACAGCATGGCGGGACAGAAAGAGCAGGGCTTCGGTACTGTTGAAGGTGTTTGCTCTTTTTGGGTGGGGCCGCCACCCAGCTCCCAAATAAATCACACATGGAGGCTTATTATTACTTATGAATGCCCAGTCTTAGCTTGGCTTATTTCTAGCCAGCTTTCCTTATCTTAAATTATCTCATCTACCTTTTGCCTCTGGGCTTTTCCTGTTCTCTAACTTCTGTAAATCTTACTCTTAGCCAGGCAGTGGTGGCGCATGCCTCTAATCCCAGCACTGGGGAGACAGAGGCAGGCGGTTCTCTGTGAGTTTGAGGCCAGCCTGGTCTACAGAGCAAGATGCAGGACAGGCACCAAAACTACATGGAGAAACCCTGTCTCAAAAAAAAAAATCTTACTCTTACTCTGTGGCTGGGTGGCTGGCCCCTGGAGACCTCCTCCTTCTCTGGTCCCTAGATCTTTGATCTCCCCTCCCAGTTTTCTCCTTCTATATACTCTCTGCCTGCCAGCCCCACCTATCCTTTCTCCTGCCTTGCTATTGGTCATTCAGTTCTTTATTAAATCATCAGGTATTTTACACGGGCACAGTAACACAGCTTCACAGAGTTAAACAAATGCTACATAAACAAAAGTAACGCACCTTAAAATATTCCACTACACTTTGAGTGGGCTTAAAGCACTGGATCAGTAATGTAAAGAGCCGAGCCTTTCCTAAATAGCATGACTGTGTACTTGCTTTTTCAAGGCAGCCTGCAAAGCCATCATGCAAGCCAGGGCTCAGAACATCAGCAAGCTGGTTCTTTATACAGACAGCATGTTCACCATCAATGGTAAGCTTCCCCAGGCACTGAGAGGGAACAGGCCTTCCTTCCTAGTAGGTAGTAGTGTAACAGTCCTGGATAACACTGGGCTTTTTAGGTCTGCCCTCCTGGGGGATTGGGGCTCCTTGGCTCCATTAACACCTGAAGTCAGGGTGTTAGTCATGGGTCACAGTATGCTGGCTCGGGCTGGGGGTGGCTGAGCAAAGGCCTTTGTTCCTCTGATTGGATGCAGGGGCCTTGGATCTGTGTTGAAGGCTTAGGCAAGGGGGAGCACCTAAGGGAGGGAACCATCCGGGCCTTGACTCGGAATGAGAGGAGCCATTGCGAGGAGAGGCTCGGGGCCAGGAGAGGCCAGGCCGTCCTAGTGGATGAGTCTGAGCGTGTGTTCCCCTAGGGATAACCAGCTGGGTTCAGGGCTGGAAGAAGAACGGCTGGAGAACCAATACAGGGAAAGACGTGATCAACAAAGAGGACTTCATGGAGCTGGACAGGCTCACCCAGGGCATGGACATCACGTGGGTGAGTCACACTTCTCATCACATGTCTGAATTAGCTAGAGGATGGAGTTGGGAAGGTTAAAGTAGCAGCTTCCATAAAGTCAATGTGTGTGTTAGCTGTGTTAAGTAGAGACAAAGATGGGTTTCATTGTGACATCGTCATATGCGTGTGCACATCATACTTTGGGCATACCTGCCCTCTCCTCATCCCCTCCTGTCATGGTTTTGTTTCCTGTGATGCGGTATGTTTAGTTGGGTGCTTACAGGAGTACAAATGAGTGGTTGTTAACGAAGCGTGGGCACCTTAGGAAGTCTGACCTCCCTCATAAATCATTAACCGCCTGTAGAAGCTTAGGGCGTGGGAGGGCCTCAGGCAACACTCCCCCCCCCCCCCCCCCCCCATCCAGCAGAGTGCTGACAGGCTCCGCCCTGTGCTCCGATCACAGCTCAGGGGTTCATGAGTGCAGTGCCATGTCTTGCCGGAAGGCGGCGTTCTGTAACACTCTGCTCCTTTCTCTATCTTTCCATGATGTGCCCTGCCTGAGCCTTGGAGGGGTGACATTGATGTTCCATTTATGGCTGAGCACTCAGCAGTCACTTATCTCAGGCCAGTTATGGGTAGTTACGAGCAGTAAAAGAAGAAGATGAAGCCGACAGCATTGATCTGTGAGCAAAGCCACGACGTTCAGACATTTAACACAGTGGCTCTCCCCATAGGACCTGTGACTGCCCGCCACACACCGTTCGTAGGTTTGCAGTACCGGCTGTGAGTCCCTCCTGGGGGCTGTAACTCCAGTCAGAAGGCGATGGTCACCCCCCAACAGACTTGTCACTGTTACACCAGTGGGCACGTCTTACCTGTTGGTTGGTTATGGCATGTTCACAGCTGAGTAAGACTTTTCTTCCCCAGCTGCCTACACAGTGCCTTCCCAAGCTAGGAAAGCTACCCAGCGGGGAGGCAGCTTCCAGATCAGTTTCAGGTTGACTTCTGTATGTGCTGCAGCCAGGGTGTGCGTAGTCTTCGGCAGTAGGGTCCCAGCATCTAGTTCTGGTGGCCCACCAAGAGCAGTCAAACAACCTGTATTGTTTGGGGGCCCCGGTAAACTCCTTAACCCAAGAGTCTATATATTCTTGTCATCTTGAGTTGGATGGTTGGTTGGAGGCAGGCAGTTGTAGCCCATGTTGGTCTCAAATCTGCTGTGTAGCCAGGGTGATCTTGATTCTCTGGTCCTGCCAGTGTATGTGGCTCTGAGGATCGAGCCCCAGGCCAATACTCTACTAGCTGAGCCATGGCTCTGGCTTTAGTGTTTTACCCTGCTGAGAGGCAGGGGCTGTGAACATGAGCTTTGGCCCTGGTCTCTTGTGGGTGTGAGGTCTAGCCATGCGCTGCACACGTAAACGTCAGAAACACTAAAGGGATCTTTATTTTAACAGATGCACATTCCTGGTCACTCCGGATTCGTGGGCAACGAAGAAGCTGACAGGCTGGCAAGGGAAGGCGCGAAGCAGTCTGAAGACTGAGCGAAGTCGTTGCTGTACGCTCAGACCCGAGGAGTGGCTGTTCCTTTACCCTGATGTGCAGTGAGGACACAGCGTGGAGGACTCGACCCTGACCTGTGACACAGCTTGATGAGAAGTGCTTGAGTAACGGAAGGGGAAGGTTGAACTTAACCTTCTGTGGAAGTTCAGTCATGGCCTTCTGGGTCTGACATTCTTGTCTGATTTGTTGCAGTCTGGCCCAAAATGCTCCAGCTTGATTTCAGTAGGAGTCAGTGAGACACTGGTCAGTACGTGTGGCCTAAAGGGGATGTTCATCTTCCTCCCAGTGTGCACAAGTACAAACCTCCTGCCTGTGCGGGCGTCCTGTGCCTCCATCTGCATCAGAGATGATGTGACCACGAGGGACCCGAGGCTGGTCTGGGGCCAGGCAGAGCCTGCACATAGGTGACCTTGGCTCCTGGACCACCTTGTAGGAACAGCTGAGAACTTTAAAAACCAAGATGCATGAATATATTGCTAATGGATTTCTTTGGCTATTTTTCCTAAAAATACTGTATAAATTTAAAACGTGTTTGAAATTATCCTTATTTATTTTTATAATAAAAATATACAGGAGTGACACAAAACATACTTAGTTTATTGAGTTACTGTTAAAGGTGACTGTCCCTTTTATCTAAAACTAGAAATTGGGAAAATCACTAGAGAAATGGCTGGTCAGATTGTCCTCAGGCAAACCCTCACAGCCCTTAAGCAGTGGAACGTGGTGCAGCCTCGCTCCAGAGAAGGTAGGAAAGACGGGCACTGGGACAGTGCTGCCACCTGAGCTGACTCCGCTCCTTAGACTGTGGGAAGCTGGGCCGTCCGCTGGAGCCCAGGGCAGGTGGAGTCACCTGAGAACCAGTGCCAGCCACAGTTCACACGCTCTCCAGCTGGCTCTGCAGGCCGTCGCTGTGACAGCTGCACACGTGAAGATGGTGTCTCGGGTGTCACAGCGGGCCTCAAGGGGACAGCAGGGCGGTTGGTGTCCATCTCTGCTGGCTTGGTGAGTGACCTGTGGAGTAAGGCCAGCTCCAAGGCACGCATGAGGGTGGGGTGTGGGTAACAGTGCACACTTCCTAAACGGGAGGACCTGACCTGCGTTCAGAACCCCAGCTCCAGCACCACGTTAACACAGGCATGGCCAAAGCTGCTTGGACCCCAGCACTGTGAGGGGTAAGGCTGGAGGGTTGCTGAAGCTTGCAGGACATCCAGCCTGGCCAAAAATCTGAGCTCCAGGTTCAGTGGTGAGAGCCCGTCTCAAGGGAGCAGGACACCCAGTGTCCTGTGTCTTCTGCTACTCCTGCACATGTGCATAAGCACAAAGTCCCTATATTAGAACCAGGTGTGGTGGGCACACACCTGTAATTTCAGGGTTCGGGAGGCAGAGGCAAGGAGGGTCAGGAGTTCAAGGTCAGCTTAGGCTATGTAGCAAGTTTGAGGCTAGCCTGGCTTCCTGAAACCATATCCTAAAACAAAGCTCCTAACATTGTTTTCTGTATGTTTGTGTAGTTGAATATCATTTTAAAGTGTGTTACTTTTCTTTATGTTGCATTTGTTTAACTCTGTGAAGCTGTGTTACTGTGCCTGTGTAAAACACCTGGTGGTCTAATAAAGAACTAAGCAATAGCAAGACAAGAGAAAGGATAGGCGGGGATGTCAGGCAGAGAGAATAAATAGAAGGAGAAATCTGAGAGAAAAAGAAGTAGCCAGAGAAGGAGGAGGTCTCCAGGGGCCAGCCACCCAGCTACACAGCAAGTCACAGAGTAAGTAAGATTTACAGAAGTAAGAGAATGGGAAAAGCCCAGAGGCAAAGGGTAGACGGGATAAGTTGAGGAAAGCCAGCTAGAAACTATTTGAGAGCTGGGTGGCGGGTGTCCCCCTCAAAAAGAGTAAAATACCAACAACATGTTTGTTTACTGGGGACTAAATATAGAGTCTAACATAGTGGGTAAACACCCTACTACTGAGCTACATCTCAGCTCACACTGCGTGTGTAGGCTGGAGAGTATGCCAATTACTAATTCTCAACCCCTAAAATTTTTTTACTAGCATATATTATATGTAATAGGTTTTATTAAATTTTTATACACATGCTTGATATATTTTGACCATTTTAAGCACCCATAACCCTGTCTTGTCTGTCCCCACACCCCAGCGGCCCCTCCCTTTTCTGAACCAGCCCCATTCCACAGATTGACAGCATTTGGAAGCTGTTCTAGAGAGAGCAAAGACCTCACTATTGGCTTGATGAGAAGATCAGGTGGAGGACAGGAGCCAGCTCTCCTGATGCATTTACACAGTTTCTATGCTCAAACCCTAGGATCATAGGCCACTAACAATGTCACGTCCTGTGATACTGTTGCAAATTTGACTGTATTTTAAGGGGGTGAGATTCATGATAAAATTGCTTTTGGATTCTGGCCCCCACAGGCACCAGGACCATGAAGACAAAATACCCATACACATAAGATTAAAAAAAAGAAATTCCTTTGGAAATAGCTGCATAGTCCGGTTGGTCAGTTGACACACCCATCACATGGGATGGGTACATGTTACAGTTGGAACGTGTCCTCAAGCCACCTTCCTTTTTCATGTGTGTGTGTGTGTGTGTGTGTGTGTGTGTGTGTGTGTGTGTGTGTGTCTCGATGCCCTCCAAGGTCGGAAGGGTATTGGGTCTGCAGGAGCTGTACTTGTAAAATAACCTAATGTGGGTGCTGGGAACTGACCTTGGATCCTCTTTCTGTAAGAGCAGCAAGCACTCTCAGCCATCACCATCTCCGCAGCTCCACATCTTGTTTTGTTTGAAACAGTATTTCTCACTGGATCTGGAGCTCACTGATTCAGCTAGACTGACCAACAAGCCAAGCCCCAGTAACCCTCCTGTCCCCACCTCCCCAGTGCCAGGATTATAGGTGCATACAGCTGTGCCTAGGTTTTGTGTAGTGTGTGTGTGTGTGTGTGTGTGTGAGTGTGTGTGTGTGTGTGTGTGTGTGTGTGTGTGTGTGTAGGTGTGGTCATTCCCATGTGTGGGTTTTTTTTTTTTTTTTTTTAATTTGTTTTAGATTTATTTGTTTATTATGTATACAGTGCTCTGCCTGCATGTATGCCTGCAGGCCAGAAGAGGGCGCCAGATCTCATTATAGATGGTTGTGAGCCACCACGTGATTGCTGGGAATTGAACTCAGGACTTCTGGAAGAACAGCCAGTGCTCTTAACCACTAAGCCAACACCCACCTCCCCACCCCCCCCACCCCTGTGTGCAGGTTTTTATGGAGGTGTGTGGTGTTTTCTTCAGTTGCTCTCCATCTTAATTATTTTGAGATAGGCTGTTACTATGTGGCAGCCCTGGCTGGCCTGGATCTCTATAGATTTGTACACCAAGATGGCCTCAAACTCAAGAGATCACTTGCCTCTTCCTGCTAGGATTAAAGGCATGTGCCTTCACACTAACCACCTTGTTTTTGATGCGGACTCACTGAACCTGGAGCTCACCAATTTAGCTAGACTGTCTGGTTAGCAAGCTCTAGTAATCTGCCTATCTCCCGCTCCCCAGGGCTGGCATTATAGGCACATGTGGCCATGCCCAGCTTTTGCCCAGGTGCTAAGGATCTGAACTCAGGTCCTCATACTTGTGTGGAAAGCATTTTACTGACTGAGCATTTTTTCAGCCTGTGTCTGAAGAAATCCAAACTGGGACTCTCCTTTTTGTACAGCAAGCACTTTACCAACAGACCTGGGTCCCCAGCCCCCTCTGACATTGTGGCAGAGTCTTGCTAAGTTGTTTGGGCCAGTCTTGAACTCTTGGTAGCCTATGAAGTCCTTGAAGCTGTTAATCTCCTGCCTCAGCCTCCAGATTAGTTAGAATTACAGGCTTGGACCAGCAGACATGGCTCATTCTTTTCAAGGCAGGGTTGTAGCCTTGAATTTACAATCGTGCCTTAGCCTCCTAAGGGTTAGCATCATAGGTGTGCACCACCGGGCTGGAGAGATGGCTCAGCGTCTAAGAGCACTTGACCACTCTACCAGAGTTCAATTCCCAGTGACCACATGGTGGCTCATAACCATCTGTAATGGGATCAGATGCCCTCTTCTGGTGTGTGTGAAGACAGAGCACTCTTGAACATAAAATACATGAATAAATAAATCTTAAACAGAAAAAAAAAAAAAAACCCTGCAGATAGGTATGCACTACCATGCCCAGTTTATACTGCACTGAGGACTGACAGAGCTTTGAGTACGCTGGTGAACAGTCTACCAACTAGCCACATCCCCAGCTTAACAGCGGCTTTACATTTTTTTCTTTTTAAATTATGCATGTGGTAGTTTCAATGAGAGGTTGCATGTTGAGTGCTTGGTCCCCGATGGGTAGCTCTGTTTCGGGGAGGCTAAGGAGGTGTGGCATTGCTGGAGGACGTAGTCACTGGAGGGTGAGGTTTAAGAGCTTCCGGATTTGCACGTTTTGAATTTGCCTCCTCTGCTTCCTACTTGCAGTTTGAGAATGTGAGCGCTCAGCTGTTCCTGCCTCCAGCCATGCCTGGTCCTGGCTGACAGGCTTCCCCGTTGTGATGGTGATGGGCTCATCCCTCTGGAACCCTAAACCCTAAATAAATCCTTCTGTGAGCTGCCTTGGTCGTGATGTTTTATCACGCCAACAGACAAGTACAATACGTATTGCGTGTTGTTGGGAGGCATGCCAGGCGTCAGAGGAGACCAGAAGCCACCGCTCCCCTGCAGCTAGAGTTACAGGTAGTTGTGAGCTGCCAGATGTGTGTATGTGGGTGCTGGGAACCAAACTCTGGTCCTCTGCAAGAGCAGCCAGTGTTCTTAACTGCGGAGTCATCTCTCCACACCTGCATCACATCGGTGGCTTTTTAAAAGAGGGAGACCCGAGCTGACATGTTTCCCCTACCTCTTTATGAGATGCACCTGCCCCTTACCTGACAGGTGTGGCCTATCCATTATTGGACTTCCCAACTTCCTTAACTGTGTGAAATAAAATTCCTTTTTTTCTTTTGTTTTTTTGTTTTTTGAGACAGGGTTTCTCTGTGTAGCTTTGTACCTTTCCTGGAACTCGCTTTGGAGACCAGGCTAGCCTTGAACTCACAGAGATCCGCCTGCCTCTGCCTCCCGAGTGCTGGGATTAAAGGCATGTGCCACCACTGCCCGTAAAATTCCATTTTTTAAAAATGAATTATTTAATCTATTCTGGGCCTGGTGTCACAAGCCTGCGGCAGGAGGATGTCAAATTCAAGGCTAGCCTGAGCTACCTAGAGTCTTGTCTCAAACATTGAAAAGAGGGCTGGGAACAGAGCTCAGCTGTGGAGTGCTTGCCTGGTGTATTAGGTCCTGGTTCAATCCCCGGGACCACCATGGAAAGAAACCCCTAATTGGTGGCTGTCCATCACAGCTGCACAGGATGGACTGACAGGGTGGGTGTGCAGGGATTGCACTCGGGGGTGTGTACATGCTAGGAAAGTACACAGCC